TCCATTCAGGTCTGCTCCGATCATCACTCTCTCCTCCCTGGGAATACAGCAGTCCCTCGCTACTTCGGGTTCGTTTTTCACGGACTCGCTCTATCATGGTTTTTCAAAATAAGATTGGACATGACACACAATTGACTGATTGATGGATGAGCCGCACGATCAGCATGACATTTTTATTTAAAATAAATTATTTTAAATTATTTAGCACCCGCTGCATATTTCTGCAGCCCAGAGCTGAAACATTTTTCTTAGTTCATATACTGCATTAGATCTTATTACTGTTTTTCTTTTACATTTCATACTTTTGTTGGCTGTAACTGGGACCCTGTGTACACAGTTTCGTTCCACCACATGTACCACATGTGGTGTGAATGAGTCTAACAGTTCATTTTAATGACTTCAGCAAAAAGTGAACAGGTCCAATTCAATACAGTTCATCCCAATAATTAATTTGAGTTCAGTCTCATAATTTAATCCAGTTTTGTTACAGTAACTGTGTTTACTGATCCATGTTAATGAAAATGAAAGAGGAGATCGTGAGGACGATAAACTCTTTCATTAGGAAGAGATCTTCAGCAGGACCAGACTTGAGAAGAACAATCGTCTGACCCAATCAGCTCAGGGATGAGAGGACAGGTAACAAATACAAAAGCTCTGGAACATGAATACCTGAGACGGGAGAGAAAAACCGAAGAAAAAGTTTAAAATTACAGCTGTAATAGCGCTCATCTTCACGAGGAGCCAAGAGAGCGTCTCGGCTGGTGGTGGCACCGCAGCAAAAGGCTGAGAGAGTTCAGATGACCTGGAAAAGACATGAAGAGGAGGAGGAAGAGGAGTGTTGCATAAAAGACGGTTTGAAAAGCTCAGTGACACAATATTTTGAAACTTAAAGAATGAGGACTATGGGCCCATTCCTGCAGAAACAAATCAGACAAAAGATGATCGGTCGAGGGCGGTGAAGTGGATATTAAAGACGGAGGTGTTTTGAATTTGTGGAAAAATGGAAGTGACTAATGGAGAAGAGCTGCAGGAATGGCTACGAGCAGTAGACGGGAAATATAATATATTTTTCTTATTTAATTTGTGTAAAAGCTTATTATAAAACTCCACAAAGCAGAAAAATCAACCTTTTAAAACAACCTTAAAGAAAAATACAATAAATGAACCCAACTACATAAAAAAAAAAAAATTATTTAAATGTTTAAGTTAGGTTAAATATTATTACTCAAACCATCCACAGTTTAAATAATTATGTTCTGTTTGTCCACACAGTTTGTACTTTGGATCATGTAGATAAATTGTTTATAATCATTCCAAGAGGCTAACTTCTACTTCTTTTTTGCCATCTTGGCGTTATTAATATTTGCAAAGTACTGCGTGTAGAAATCCGTTACAACATCAAGCAGTCAATGTGGTGTGAGTGATTATGATTGGCATTTAATTTGCAGGGAAAGCCTGTGCATGTGAAGCAACATGGCTCCGTGTGCACAAATGCAGTCCTTTGAGCGTATGAACAGTGGTTTGTATCTCATCTCGTTTAATTGGATAATCGCTCTTCCTGCAGCATCAGCAACACTTAAGAGTAACATTAGAAGCAGTGGTGCATCAAAACAGGAGAAGTGCTTGGGTCAGAGCTTAAGGTTACGAGCAGAAGTATTTAAAAAATGAGATGAAACAAGGGTTACACTGTACGTAATGACAGGGCTTTAAATGTTTTTATGCATTTGAATCAAAATGACAAAAATATAAATACTAGAAACTAGCTTTAGTAGTTTTAGTGCAATTGAAATGACCAATAATTCAGTTCTGGGTTAGTCAGTTCAGATTATAATAAGATTAGGAATGAGATCATCAGAGGTACAGCACAGGTTGAACAACTGGGAGATAAAGTTAGAGAGGACACACTGAGATGGTTTGGACATGTCCAGAGGAGGGACAGTGGTTTGGACATGTCCAGAGGAGGGACAGTGCGTACATCGGTAGAAGGATGTTAGAAATGCAGCTGCCAGGAAGAAAACATGAAGGAGATATATGGATGCAGTTAGAGAGGACATGGAGGTGGATGGAGTGAGGACAGAGTGAGATGGAGGAGGATGACTCGCGGTGGTGACCCCTGAAAAGGGAACAGCTTAAAGAAATAAACAACAAAGGACATTTAGAATATAATGTAATATAGTACAAAGTATATCACTGCAATAAGATACGGTACAATACCTTCTTACACAATTCCATTCCGTACAACATTTTGTGTCGACACTGAAGGGATATTTGTTTTGTATTTTCTTCCATTAGAGTTTCATTGGCCCAAATATGTTCTCACGAGGACAGGAGAGAAGGAAAAAGAACAGAAAGGCGTCAGAAAAGCCAAACATGTGGATGTCCTCACTCAGCTTTTGTCAAGCCAGCGAGGAAATCTAAAACCACACAGCAAAGAACAGAACTGGGAGGAAAAGAAACACATTGTCATCTCATTTGTTGCTGGAGTATCTGAGAAACTCTGAAGGATTTTCTCCAAACACAACATCGCAGTGCATTTCAAACCTAACAGAGGCTGGTCCATCTTAAGGATGAAACCCCCAAACCCAAACAGAGTGGTGTCTGCAGCGAGGTTTGTTCAGACCTCTGTATTGGATCAACCAAACAGCCTCTCCACAGACGCATGGCTCAACACAGGGGGGGCCAGCTGTTCATGATAAGACTCAGCTGGATAAAGGACACTCTTTTTGAAGACCAAAATGTTCATCTGTTGGTCCGAAGCACAGTTTGCATGAATGGAGTGACCCCACGCGGTTTTAAAAGTCAAAGTCTGAACATTTTTTTGTCTTTTAGTTGAGAAAGACTGAAAAGTTACAGCATCGTGTTGCCTTGATTTCTCACAAATGACAGCAAAACACAGCCTAGAAAAGAAAAACCTCACAAAACGTCGATTACTGACAGTGTCAGCATTTAAAGCTTTTCAGAAAAGTCTCATTAAAATTTTTTGGATATTTTTCACAAGACAAATCTGTAACCTTTTTGCTCTTAATTTTATTTATTTTTTTAATCTAAACCCCTTGGCGAGGTGAGCAGAGCCAGAGAGCATTCATTGCAGTTCAGAATGTATTTTGGATGCTTTATTTTCGTACACGATTACCACATGCTCATTATTTAAAGTGCGAGGAGCCGTGCCGTCTTTCACGTTAGTCTAATCCAGGATTTTTTACGGGTAGTTGCTTGTTTTGGTCCAATTAGATGCTCTGCCTCAGGTGCAAAGCAGAGATGCTTCCTGCTAAATGAAGGTCTCAAGCACAAATAGCGCTACAAGGCTGTGGTGCGTGTGTCATACCCATCGTAACCTATTTCATACAACAAGGCCAAGACATCGATTTATTTGGCAGTGAGTGAAAAACAGAAAGCTTTTCAGGAGGAATGTTTGCTGCACTTTTAAAAACATAATGAGCTTGTCAGACCGCAGTGACAAGGAAGTAATGCAGTGTGGTTCTTGCTTTGTGGAATGATAAATAAGATCAAACGTGTGTTTCTGTTCGTTTCTTTAAACTCCTACACAGCTGATGCAGTCATCCAGCTGTGGTTTTGACTACAAATCCTGCACATGTTTATATTCTTGCCTTTGCATTAAATCATGCCTGTTTGTGGTTCTAGTTGAACCTTTTTGCATTTAAAAATAAACAAGTTGATAACTCTAAATGTTCCCAGTGGGCGATTAAGGCTGTTGGAGCCATGACCCAAAGACAAAACGAGGTCTTGTGTTAAGGAATCCGTTGTTCATTAAAATATTTCAGTATTCTTGT